AACTGAGCTGGATGATGACATCACTGAATTGAATGATGAACTGTCTTTAACTGAAAAATTAGTGTTTACGATTATCATTTTGCATTATTGACACACTATTTTCCTAATTAATGCTGTTCAGTTGCTTTGACACAATCTGTATTGTTAAAAGCGCTATATAAATAAAGGTGACTTGACTTGACTTGACTTTATTCTGAGATGTTCTGTGCACTTCAATGCTCCCATTTGGTATGTCTCCCTAATTAAACACACCTAGTCTAATTACAAGACCTGCGAAAGGAGTGTCAGATAATTGAGACATGCAAAAAAATAACTGCAACTTAGGAACCACTGTCATATCCATTTTTACTGGGTCTCAGGAGGCAATTTATTTGGAAGAAAACGTTGGATGACATATGTAGAGAGAGAGAATTTTTATTTTATTTTATTTTTTTGCATGTGTCTGATCTTTCTCAATTACTTTAGCCCAACCTGTTTTAGTTAAACGCTTATTAGTTCCATTGGGGCTGAAACCAGATTCTAATTGCTGTTGGTGATTCACTGCGGTATATGTACATAACAGACAGAGCGAGGGAATGATCTCACTGCTCGATTTTGTTTTGTTTTACAATCTGTTTCTGGTTGTACATAATTTTAAAACTTTGTGGATGTGCAGCAAGACCATTTGTACTCCCTGGCAATGAAATGTAAGTCTTCATTTCAGAATTTATTCGATTTTTCAGCTGATATTTGGTTTTCAGTCATTAATTTGAGTGGCACATTGAGGCTTGAGGAAACTTTGCTCAATCAATTGCTTTTATATTAATTGAATGTATGCATTTATTGATCTAGAAATCGCATAAAGAAGCTGTTTCTGTTTTGCCCCTCTTTTCACGTATAACTGTGTCAAAGAACTTACTTGCACATCTGTCTTTGTCATGTTTTAGGTTTAATTTCCAGAGACAGTAATCATCATCAGCGAAAAGAAACTGAGAAAGAGAAACACACCTATATCAAAATAAGATGACTGCTTTCCTCTCAGAATACATCAAATTTATTGCACTTTACTTCAAGAGTAAGGATGTCATGGTCTTCAATGGCCTCATTGGTTTAGGAACAGTGGTTGGTCAAACAGCATACAACATCTTAGCTTTTCACTGTCCGTGCTCACCAAAGAAGAATTACCTGTATGGACTGACTGCTATTGGTGTACCAGCCCTGGCTTTCTTTGTCATCGGGGTGATGCTGAATCAAAATACCTGGGACATTGTGTCAGAGTGTCGGACCAAAAGATGCAGGAAATTATCACTGACTGCTGCTTTTGCTCTGCTGGGCTCCGTTGTGGGCAGAGCAGTTGTTGCTCCTGTTACCTGGACTGTAATTTCGCTACTGAGAGGGGAGGCATATGTCTGTGCTTTCAGTGAGTTCATGAACCCCTCATCTTTGGATGGCTTCTTTTCAAGTACACCTGGTCCAGAGATCATGGCCCGGTTTCCGTGTAAGGATGTACCTGCTCCATTTATGAACTACTCAGGAGAGGTTGAACACCAGTTAAAGTACGAATCCCAGGTACTTGTCACTTTTTATAGTGTCGTTAAACTCCTTAATTGCATAAACACTTCTGATGTACAACCTCTTTTTTTTCTTCATCTAGCTTTTGGGCTGGTTGCTTGTGGGAATCATCTCCCTCTCCATCTTTGTGCTCCTCTGTCTGAAAAATTGCTTCTCTTCTCTTGGCTATCATCAGGAGGCGTACTGGTCCCAGTACTGCTCCAGCGAACAAGCTCTTTTCCAGCGTACAGCTGAAGTACATGCTAAATACTATGCGGCTGAAAATGTCAAGAGTTTCTTTGGCTTTGTGGCCTTGGAAGATGAAGAGAAGCAGCTTCTAGAAGTCTGCAAGGGAATCAAGAGTGTCATTCCCAGAATGGAGTGGAACCGCGTCACAGGGGTTTACATGTACAGAGAGACTGATGACACTCCCATCTACAGCCGCTTAAACAAATGGGCCATGTACACAAATGAACATGACTGTTAAGTAATTGACAAAGAAATGGACATTTTATCCCATGAGTCTGACAAATTAGTGTCTAATTAATGAACAATACTACACACCCAAAAACAAATATCTTTGGCATCAAGAAACACCCAAGAAATGTGTGCCACACAGACCATAAAGAAAATAATTTAAAAAATAATAATTGTTACATAACAAATAATTGTTGTGTAAATACAGTACAAAAAGCTTATAATTATTTTCATTTCTAATGCAAAATTGTTTGTCTTTTTTTTAAAAAATCAGATAATTCTTCTGAGAAAAAAATAAACAAATGTTTAAAGCTCATACTAAATGTTATCTCTTTTGAACATCAATTTTGGAAGCACAAAGCTAAATGATTATAATAATAATGTAAATAATGTAAAAAATCATTCAAACTTAGGCAAATAAGCAAATAAATAAATAATATGTATTTCTGGATAATGCTAGTCTCTTGTTAAAGGTTGTAATGATAATGGCTGTTGGATCATTCAAACCTGCAACTTTTCAAAAATCAGCTCAGTTTTTTTTACTACTGTGCTACAGTCCACAACTTCAGCTTGTTTCTAAACAGACATCAAGTTGAATGTCAAAACGTAGTTTATGCATTGCTGAGATGGCTACTGTTGCTGTTAAACTAAGGCAAGCTGTTTTAAATTGTCAGATGGATATTTTGTCAGACATCATTTCAGTTTTGGTGAAGATTTGCAGGTGGATTATTACAGAAATTCTATCAGTTTTACAGTAGGCTATAGTGTACAATTTGTTTTTCTATACTGTACATCGAGGAACCACTGTCCATTATAATGGACACTGAATAATAAAATTATTTTATTTACACTGAACAAAATTATAAACGCAACACTTTTGTTTTTGCCCCCATTTTTCATGAGCTGAACTCAAAGATCTAAGACTTTTTATATGTACACAAAAGGCCTATTTCTCTCAAATATTGTTCACAAATCTGTCTAAATCTGTGTTAGTGAGCACTTCTCCTTTGCCGAGATAATCCATCCACCTCACAGGTGGGGCATATCAAGATGCTGATTAGACAGCATGATTATTTCACAGGTGTGCCTTAAGCTGGCCACAATAAAAGGCCACTCTAAAATGTGCAGTTTTATCACACAGCACAATGTCACAGATGTCGCAAGTTTTGAGGGAGCGTGCAAGTAGGGTTAGATATAAAAACATTTGTCTAAATGATTTAGGGATACGTTTAGATCAGGGCTGGATTGGCAATCCGTTTTTTTGTTTGTTTTTGGCCCATCATGCAGGGACAGCGGCCCACAGGTTTGTATTATATTGCTTTAACCCTGGAAATATGTGGAAATCGAATGACGAAGTCTATAAACAGGACGTTAACAGTGGCCAGAGATGGGACACGTGAATAGATGTGCTAGAAGCGAAAATACTCTACTGGAGATCACTGTGCACGATGCTTGAAGTTTTCAATTTGCACTTAGTGTATAGGCACTCCGAAATTTTTCTTCCCCTTGCTTGTGCCCCAAGTGCGCATGGGCCCCTGGGCTCATGCCCATAATGCCCATTGGATAATCCGGCCATGTGTGTAGCTAAAAGTTTGTTGTCACAACCAAAAAAAACAAAGAAACTCCAAACAGAGCAGAGCCCACAAGCAAAAAATGGAAAATGTTATAGTCCACAATGAATGATTTGGCTTTTTTAGAGGTGTAGAGAACTCTGATTTCGAAGAATTCAAAACCGACCCAGAGATGGCTTCTTTCTTACTCAACAGGTAAGATATTTTATTTAACCAACAGATAGCAAAAGTTATCCAACAGTAGTGGGATTTCATTATATAGTGTTAGCTATTCTAAGAGGTCATTTCGTTATGATTTGCTCTAGTGCATGTTGTTCTAGTTATTTTCAAGGATGGACCGTGTAAATTAGCAACCTATTGGTTAGCCAAATTAACAACGTTCATCTGTCAAATTTGTCAATTTGCAGCCCTTTTAGTCTAGACAGGTTATTTCTTGAGCCTGTGTTTTGGTTGCGTTTCTTCCACAGAAGCTCATTTGACTTGTAAAGTTTTGTAATGTCATCGTAACAAAGCACAACCAAAATGTTATTCTGCAAGGCGCATGCAGTTTTATTTACTAGCCGCCAGCGCCATATTAAGCTTTGACAAATGCTATATTTTTTTCAGAACAGTATGCAGAAAATTATCATGATTTCTGGAGGATATCACTGAATAATTGTCCCAAAATATCACGCTGATCTTTTTGACAGCAATATTACTAATCGGCTGCGGTTCAGATTTAGATTAGCCAGTCAGAATGCAGTCTTTTACAGGGCTTTTTTTTTTTGCCTGTCAGTTTGCATACGCATTTATAGCTGGGAAATGAGAGTGTGAACGATGATGAATTTGGAGCATTTATAACGAAAATTGTGACATTACCAGCTCACACAGTCAAATGTCCTAAAAGAGATAAAGCAGAAATTTAATGAGAAAATGAAAGAGACCAGAATTGACTAAAAAAAGAAACAAGACATTAATGAACAGCGGTGAGGCTTTTCATCACCTGGAGGGATCTGAGAGCATCAAAATGCTTGATACTCAGTTTGCTTTGCTCTTGACAGGTAAACCAAAGGTACCGTTGTTACCTTTGGTTTGTAATTCGGTATCTACGTGCAAGTTCTACAACTAACAAATAGGCCTATTAAAGCACCTTTAAATATTTCAAGTTGAAGCACTTATGGGTCAGCAGATTTATGTGTGTAATGAATTAATGGTTCATTTTATGTCAAAACAGACACTTAGCCATTAAAATTGTAGTTTAAATTATTTTTGGCCATTTTTGTTATTGTGCAATCCTGTTTTGTCATTAAAAATTTTTTTATATCAATTCGATCAGATGAGAAAAGGTAATTATTTACATTCAGTTTTGAAAATGGCCAGCCCAGCCTGTTTTAGTTAAATGCTCATACTTTCCACTGGAGTTGGAACCAGATATAGGCTAGTTCCTGCTGATGATTCAGTGCTGCATGCCATGCACACAACAGGCAGAGCGAAGGAAAGACCTAACTACTTCAACACAACACAACACAACTTCTTTTGCTGTCTGCATTTGTTTGTACATATTTGTCAAACTTTATGGCTGTTCAGCGAGACCATTTGTACCTCATTGCAATGGAATGTAAGTCTTTCCGTTTCTAAATGTTTTTTAGGTTCTAATTCGGGCTGAGTGTCATGCTGAGACTTGCCTAGAGGGTCTTTGTTCAAAGAACTTTTCTGCATGAAATCGGTCTTTGAATGTGTATCTCATAATATTCTGATTTGTACACATGCATATTTTTTTGTGCCTACGTTTCTCTAGTTTTTAGAGTCTGTTTCTGCTTTTCTGTATGATGTGTCAGATAACAAAAGAGGACTCTTTAATCTTCTGTCTTTGTCAGTTTTTTAGGTTTACTTTACAGAGACTCTCATAAAGACTGTTTAACCTGCATTAATTCACATTGAGAAAATCAGGACAAGATGGCTGCACTCATCTCAGAAAACTTCAAATTCGTTGCGCTCTTCTTCAAGAGTAAGGATGTCATGATCTTCAATGGCCTGATAGGTTTAGGGACAGTAGCCAGTCAGACAGTATACAATATTTTTGCATTTCACTGTCCATGTTCACCAAAGAAGAATTACCTGTACGGACTGACTGCTATTGGTGTACCAGCTCTGGCTTTCTTTGTCATCGGAGTGATGCTGAATCAAAATACCTGGGACATTGTGTCAGAGTGCCGCACCAGAAAATGTCGGAAATTATCACTGTCTGCTGCTTTTGCTCTTTTGGGCTCCATTTTGGGGAGAGCAGTTGTTGCCCCCATCACTTGGTCAGTTATTTCCCTCCTGAGAGGGGAGGCGTATGTCTGTGCTTTCAGTGAGTTTGTAGACCCCTCTTCTTTGGATCATTTCCCTCCTACTACAAAGACTCCAGAGATCATGGCCCGGTTTCCGTGTAAGGATGTACCTGCTCCATTTATGAACTACTCAAGAGTGATTGAACGCCAGCTAAAGTATGAATCCCAGGTATTTATCACTTTAGTATAATTTTGTTATAGTCTTTAATTAAATATACACTTCTAATTTCATTGGGCATTTACTCAAATTTATGAAATGTATAACCTCTTTTTTTCTTTTTTTACAGTAAATAATACAGTAAATAATGCACAAATCTGTACATAAATCTTCTGTTCCAGATGTATACCACATTATTATTATTATCATTATTTAAATGTTCTTTCTGTTGTCAATGTCATATATGTATGTATATATGTTTGTACTAAGAGCTCCTAAAAAACACAACAAATTGTGAATAAAGTTCATACTGATTCTGATTTTCTTCATCTAGTTGTTGGGCTGGTTGCTGGTGGGAATCATCTCCCTCGCTGTCTTTCTGCTCCTCTGTCTGAAACACTGCTGCTCTTCTCTTGGCTATCAGCAGGAGGCGTACTGGTCCCAGTATCGTTCCAGCGAACAAACTCTTTTCCAGCGTACAGCTGAAGTACATGCTAAATACCATGCTGCTGAATGTGTCAAGAACTACTTTGGCTTTGTGGCCTTGAAAGATGAAGAGAAGCAGCTTCTAGAAGTCTGCAAGGGAATCAAGAGTGTCATTCCCAGAATGGAGTGGAACCGCGTCACAGGGGTTTACATGTACAGAGAGACTGATGACACTCCCATCTACAGCCGCTTAAACAAATGGGACCTGTACACAAAGGAGAACAACTGTTAGGCAAATGGAAAACATTTGATATATTCAGAATTTTTCATTTATTATTTTTTAAATTGTTTTTATTGTTTGTTGTTGTTCCTTCATGGTAAACATGCTTGAGTATTATGATGATATTTGTCACTGAAGTCTGTAATTCAGATTGTTCAGTTACTTTCTTATTTCTTTGTAGAGAGGTGATTGGCAGCTCAAATTGTAATATTTTGATAACACACAATGAACTATTTAGCATCTCTTTTAAGAGACATGATGTACTCTCAGGTTGAGATGGCCTCTTGTTATACATTGCAAAGCAAGCAATAAAGTGTATCTGACAAATTAGTGTCAAATAAATTAATAATAATGCCCGCTACTACATATTTGGTATAACACATTGAAAAGTATGTTTTCCATAAAGATGGGAAGAATTGTTTAAATGACGTTATTAACTACTACTGACATGTAATTTATGTCATTTAAGAGAGTTAGCAGATGTTCTTATGCAGAATGACCTACAAAACTGCATTAGCATCACATATGAAACCATTGTGATCAACAGATGGCAAGCACGCAATTTGTAATGCTGTCTACAATTAAAGGAACACTCCACTATTTTTGAAAATAGGCTCATTTTCCAACTCCCCTAGAGTTAAACAGTTGAGTTTTACCGTTTTTGAATCCATTCAGCCGATCTCCGGGTCTGGCGGTAGCAATTTTAGCTGTAGCTTAGCATAGATCATTGAATCTGATTAGACCGTTAGCATCTCGCTCAAAAAACTCTGGCTCCAGTGGTGTAGATGGTAAAGTGTGTGCTGTGGACGATTTGACGCGATCGACACGAGTTCGAATTTGTCTTTTGCCGAACTTTTTTCCCTCCCTTTTCAAATCTTGTATCACATCGGAAAGGCATTTATTTTTAATAAAAATGAAGGAAATAATAGAAAAGTTGAAAATAAAGTATCGGGTAGAGTTAGGGTATGTGTAGGGAGGGCTTTATTGTCCCAATAAGGTGGCATCCATTTTTTTATTTGAATTAAAATGATAATTTACACTCAATAAGTTTATTATTGCATACTGTTTTATAATTTACTACAATACTGAGAAGCAGATAATTACCACTATTTGAAATATGTAGTATAAATAGCATTTTATCATAGTGTAAATGGAATCTATAGCTAGCCTATATGCACGGTGTAAATAGCATATAACAAAGAAAATATGCTATTTGGACTTAGTGTAAATAGCCGCTGCCATTGATTTTTGATTCAATTTATTATTGTTTGTTTTGATAATATTTAATCTTTTAAAATGTTTTATTTAATGTGTGTAATTTTAGGTTTTTGCTGTAGAGCTACAATTGTAATTTGTAAATAATACAATTTAATTACAATTTATTTATTTATTTACTTTTATGTTTTATTAAAGTTATATGTTGACCCCTGTAGTAGGTGTTTTTTTATTTCCATAATATTTGGGGGAGGGGGCACAACATTACAATTCTGCTTAGGGCACCCATTTGGCCAGCAGCGGCCCTGCCTATACCACAGTCTGGCAAATGTTTTGCAGAAGGAACCTGCATGATATCACTGTTGTTAGTATGTAGTTTGCAGTTGATAGCTCATTGTCCAGTGTGACACCAAGGTCCTTGGCTTTCTGTGTGGGTGGGATTGTCGAGTTGTCTATTAAAATGACAAGGTCTTGGTAAGGGTGTATCTTGGATTGAACAGCTTGTTATTTATTTATTTTTTTTCAGCTTCAGATGATGGGCATTCATCCAGGCAGAGACGATTGCCAAGCATGCAGTGATTTGTGAGGGTATCTGATTGTCAGAGGGTAGGAAAAGAGAGGATCAATATAGTATTGTTTAAATAAAATTGTCAGTTTAACAGAAGACATTAGAGATGATCACATGGTAATTGATTTAGTGTACAGGGAAAATGCTGATCCTTGCTCAGTGGGATTGTTGATGAGGTGAAGTGAATCCTTTCATAATATCTGATCATGGGCCCACAGAAGCTGAGAAAGATTTGGTGGTTCACAGTTGCTGGGTTTACATCCAGTGCATTGGAAGCAAATTTATCAATTAAATTCTTAAATGTGCAGCAAAAAGCTCACGTGCCTGCATAATTTGCTCAGAGAAGAAAATAAATAATTTTATTTTCATATATTTCAGAAATATTCCTGGATCAATTTAGTCAAAGTTAGATAACCAGAAGATGTAAACAATATTTCTTTTAACAATATATATATATATTTTTAATTGCTTATTGCTTTTCTGTGTAAAGTTATATCAGTTTTTGCAACTTTATTGGCATGGCAATGCATTGCCATAAACAAAAATAATTTAAACACCTTTAAGCACAAATAATACTCAAAACCAAAGAATTTCTAAGAAGAATTTAGTTTATTCTAATTCTAATTAAAGTAGTTTCATAAAGTTATAAGCTCCACATTTCTTTTAAATCATCCAAAAAAAAATTCACTTTAATTGTGAAAAAAGTGTTGAAAGTGTCTCAACTATTTATTCATTTTTAAACATTTTTATTAAAGACAACAAGGCCAAACATTTTTGTCAGTCAACATTATGCCACAAATGCTATCGATTGAGCTTATCTTGACATCTGCAAGAGGTTTTGGCAAAAGCACCTTCTACATAATACACTGATTTTGCGCAACATGAATCAGCAGTTGCATATTTCCTGTCTGAACATGAATTAAAAACACTCACTAAACCTGTTAACTAAAACTGTCTAATTAGCTGTGTTTTGTTTGTTTGTTTGTTTATTTATTTATTTATGCAGTGACGAAATTACTGGCGTCATTGCTTCTGTCACATGCTCTTTTTTCATTTTTTGGCTTTACGGTAGGGTTGCTCTCAGAGTATCCTTAGATTCTATTCTATTCTATTTTTTTCCCTCTTGCTTCACACTCTCACTGTTTTCACTCTGTAGTCTCTTGCTGTTTTCGTGACTGCCAGTCAAGCAAAGTGAATCAACCCTCATTCCCCTCCCAGCCTTGTCTTACACAGACTCATCAGGGAGAGTCTGACTCGGCCTGAGTGTCTGCTCGCCTGGCCACTATCACCTCCTAATAGCCTTCAGCTGGAGAGAAGTAGGATGAAGAGAGTGAGCACAGGATAGAAAGGGAGAAGGGGAGTGCGAGGAGGGGGCGGGTGAAAGGAGAGCTGTGATCCAGACAGCGAATCACATGAGCAGAGATCTGTTTACAAACTGAGCAGGGGAGAAGTCATCGGCACCATTACGTGGAGGCAGGGCTGCTGGAAAGGCGACAGGAAACACACAGGAATCTCATCACTTTGTCTGGAAAATGCATTTTATCCTTTGTGTCTTTGCAGCGAAGAAGCCAGACCAGATGGTGTGAGGAAGACACAGCTTTGAATGGGCTGCATTCACAAGCTCTCGCTCTGACGGCTGTTTGCCACCGCTCTTCCTCTTCCTTTGTTACCGTGGAAAACGCTTGATTGTAACGTGAGGGCGATAATCTTGAGCGAGAAGACTAGAGGAAAGTGGCTGACGGCAAGAAGGGGTGAGCCTTGTGACAGTGTTTTGAAGATAGACAAAGAAATCTGTGACTCTCTGTAATGTACATTTTCTCTCTCGCTGGTTTGTTATCGTGACTCTACAGAGAGGTAAAAAAAAAAGAAAAAAGCCAGTGACAACAACTTCACGTCAAGCGGAGGTAGATGGTGATCCATTGTTTATGTCAACGACACATTGCAAATCTTTCATATTCTGTGCTGCTGCTTGGTTTTGGATCATGATGCTGGAAAAAAAAGAGTGCTTGGTGTTCTTTTAACTTGCCTGTGGTTGAACAAAACATAGATACCAAGAAGTAGGTGTTGATATTTTGTTCCCGTGTTGACACAGGTTTCAACAATGACTGACTTGTCTTTGTAAATATTTCAACACAAAGAAAACGAAATCGTCCTGCCTTCCTCCATACACTAGTGAGGAGCTGGTGGGTAATCATAATGTGTTAACCAGAGGCGCTGAAGATTCAAAGCCTTGTTTTTGTGGTAGGAGTTTTGGGAGTGTAAAACTTGTATTATTCATCTGGTTTTGAGTGAGGGGATCGGCCCACTCCTTTGGCCCGGTTTCAACACTGTCTCCTTGGACACAAGTTACTGGATAATTTGTTATAGCGGAGCAATCTAGCACCTCTCCAGTGGTGTAACGGTGAGTATGAATCATAACCCCCTCTTCCTCCTCCTCCTCCTCCTCCACCTCTTCCCTTCATTTCTAGTGGCTACATAATCTGGACAGCTTCCTAACCATGTGTTATTCACAAAGCCCCCGACCCTCCCACTGGCTTTCTATCAATGTTTAACTAAAATCCTCCTTATATTACTACCACCCCCTCCTTCACCCGAAAACCCAAGCCTTTTTACCTTTCTCCTGATTGGCACACTCTCTTCCAAGACCTGAACTTGTGTGCAACCTAGAGAGACACACTTTGTGTCTGTATCTATTGTGTGAGACACAATATTGCGTGGTCGTTTGGCACCATTCGACCCCAAGGTCAGTTATTATTTTTTCCCCCCCAAATGGTGCTTCCTGCCTGGGTTGGTGAGACCTTTACATCTCTTGCCTCCCCTCAACCCTGCGCAGACAGACCAGATGGTGGCTTTATGACAGAAAGGGTGCACCACTAGTGTTTGTCTTTCTGCACAGACAATTGGCCAAGCTTCACTCTCGTTGCCAAACGCTCTCTTGCTCTCTCTTTTGAAAATGCAAATCTCTATACAGTAAGGAAATTAATCACTTAATGGTTGAATAATAAGATATTATCCATTACTTGCATTTAAAAGGCTTGTATTTATAACTCTAAATACTGTTTAAATCACTGTTAACCTGTTTATTTAGTACATTTTCATTCATTAGGAACTACTGGCCCTCAAACGGCAGTTATTTCTGTTTTCTGAAGCATTTGAAAATTGTAGTTGGTTGATATAGTTCAATTTTATGGTCTTTTAACCTTTTTTTTAAACCCTAATTTCAAAAAGGAGCACTGACATCTTTATGAGTAACTGTAGACTGCACTAAAATAAATAAAACTTTAATTTATAAAAGCATACTTAAGAGGAGTTTTTATAAAGAGC